AAGCAATGAACATGATATTTATTGAAATGCTCTCCCGTCTCTGTGGCATCGACCTTTCTCTCTGTGGATTCCTTCTCTCTTTCTCCAGCTGTTGTTTTCAAATACCGGTAGTATAAAAAGCTCAGTGAGAGGTTGATCCCTCTTGGTTGCATTGTGGGTAACGTGAGGTAGGCGTGGAAGTGTTTGACCCACTGGATACTATTACGGTAGATTCATCTTTCCAATGCAAATAAACACAGGTGTGGGTTATTTATAGGGCTTTTTGCAGCTATGCCACGTGTAAAAGCAGTGCTCATCCCTCATAGCTGGTAATGTCAAGACTGTGTCATATGGAAAGAGTGAATCATCCACAGATAGAGTAAGTGAGATGGAGACCTTTAAAACGAACTAGGATTCTCGCATTTTTAATACTTTCTTGTAAATATTCACAGCTTAACCTGTGAGCCTTTCATCTGCCAAACAAGTGACTATTACAGTGATTCAAATAAAATGGTGAAGATGGAAATGTGAAGGTTAATGTAGTTCAGTCAATTAAGATCATGGTGACATGTTTGAGATGGTTATTATTCCTGTGTTGATAGAAGAGATGGACATGATGTGCATGTACATCAAGACATCAGAAAAAACACAACTTCAGAGTGGCATATAAAAAATAAACACCCCAGGATATGCATGTTGCATTAACTTTTCTAGTCATACATACATTCATGTTTTCATATAGACATGTAGCAGTCTTAAAATATTTTCTTTTCATGATGGTTTTTTGAGACGAGAACGAAAAGAGAAATTGACAAAAATGCCCATCCCTAATGAAATGTAATGTTCTTGAATGCAATTTGTTACTTTGGAGTGTATATAAATTGGGAAATATGTCTAAAATGAGAAGTAATTTTAAAATGCAAAAAGATAACCCTGGTGTGTAAGAGAGAAAGGCATTTTTCATGCAGAGAACCTTTGACTTTAGAGATTAAACATTTACATTAGCTAAGAGTCCTTGACCGTCCTGCTCACTGTTATCTGTATAAAAACCGTTTATTCTCATAGTTGACTTTCTCAGGCTCATCTGTGAGCTCCCACCTCATGTCCTCTATAACGCTCACTCGTTCCTCATCAGAGCAGGAGGTGAGCCCAAATCCGTAGACATGTTCAGCTTGTGCTAATTAACATTACACACTGACCGCGAGCTAGCTGTGTGCAAAGCACGCTGCACTGAAAACTCTCTCTCACACACACACAGTCAGGGGAGTGTTACAGATTTACAGTAGGCACTAGAGAACACGACCCCACCGTAATTAAAGCTGAATCCTTCATTATATCCTCCAGTATATCAGCCAAGGAGGATGTAATGAAGCATACAGGGAACGTAAGCAGAGCTGAACATCTGAACCCACACCATATGGACCACTGCAGGTCTTGTTAGTGTGCTTTTAGATCAAAAACACAAATTAACAGTACTTCATTTTTAAGTTGACAAAGTCTCCCCAAGAGTTCTATTAAGTTGCTGATTAACATAGAAGTACAATGGTATTAGTGTTTTTCCCCAACATTGTAACATGTTCTCTAAAGTAAATAAATACCATGCTACATGTACCATGGTATATATGAAGAGTTTGGTTCCAAAACTTGAGTAAAATAATTTTAGTAAAAAGTGGAAAGATGAAAACCACTATTTTATGTTTCAAACTTTCATATAGCATTTGTAGGTCATAATAACAAATAACCAAAAAAATCCAGGTTTTGATTTTCAAAGATTTATTATAAAAACGGATTATTTTTTTCTCCAGAATGCAATAAATCCATTTTTTTTTCATATTGAAACTGTTTAAAATACACAACAACGTAAGTTTATTAGTATAATATTTTTATTAAGAACTGTAAAGAAGATTGAAAACATTTTTCCTCCTCCCGAGTGCCTCATCTTCTTAATCTCCTCACGTAAATTATTCGATTTCGATGCCTTACGTTTCTTACCCACCGCAGAAACAACCACAGGTTCATCAATGCCATCAAAATTATTCATTTTTTTGTTTGTTTGTTGATCGAAAAGTACAAAATAGATAAGAAAAACTAGGAAGCCGGGTGTATTTAAGGCGCTGCCGTTACGGTTTACATTGCGTGGAATGGTGCGTTGTGATTGGTTGAGAGCGGATATATCGCATTCTGCAGAGAAGGGAGACTGGCGTTTGTCGCGGTTTGGAAAGAAAGGGAGAAAACATGACAGAATAACAGGGCGGATGTTGCATTTTTCTTCAAATTAAACATTGACTTTTCAATACCAACCAGATACAATACTGATTTTTGCAGTAACTAATTTTTTTTTTTAAATGGCGTTTATCGCGTTTTGGAACCAAACTCTTCATATGTAAGTACTATGGTGTTTCCATCAGTCACTACAACTATGGTACTCTCACAGTACTGCTTAGGGTGTTAACACTTGTAGTTCGCTTCTCTTAGTTTTCTTTTGGTCCAGACCAAAAAAAGAAAGAAAATATTTTGTCCTGGTTCGCTTGCCCTTTACACTCATGTTTAAGACCGAACCCATATATTATACAAAAAATATATATTTTAATGAACATCCAAAATGATGCTGTGCTCTGGGCTATATGCACTCATTGTACAGTATATGTGCGTACATTACATATGATGATATTTTGACCAGCTGAGAACTTGTGAAGAGTTTATAAAATGTGTAAAGGAATCAAAACAGGAGTAGAAATTCTGTAGCAAGAAAACAGCGTTTCTGACACCTGTACCGAACTGTAATGGGCAACGTAGCTTCTATAACAACAAAAAACTTGTATGATTCAGCATTCTGTTCTTTTAGTGTGTTTTTTGTTCTTTAGATGTCTATGGTCCGAGTTGCATTCATATTTCAGTCAAACTGCTTTCGTTTGGAAGCAGACCGAGACCCGCTTTTCGGATGACAGTGTTCACACGTAATCAAATGAACCAAACTAACAGAACAATCGCAACAGTTTGTTTTAAACGAACCAAGCATGCCTTAAAGTAAGCATGAAACGCAAATTGAGATCATCTTTCCTTCTCTATTGTGAAGTATATCCCAGTGAATTTTCTTGATGAATAAAAAATTGGGGCGGGACTTGATATTGTCCCTTGGCAGTTGATTGGGTTGTTGTTTTTGACAACAGTGGGTTTTTTTCTTTAATGAAACGCAGTCTTTTGAAGTCAAATAATAGTTTGAACAAACATGAATTAGTTATTCACTAAAAACCTTTCCGCATTCTGTATTAATATCATATTTGCCACCTTCCAATAGTGACATCATCAAACATCATTTGTTATGTTTTGTCACCTGATAAAGAATGAAATTTGACATCTGGAACCATTTTCGATTCCTTCAACAGTGTTTGGGGAGTGAGTTTAGTATTCTTTGACATGTATTATAACGCCAGTGCATTAATTTTAATTAGCACCCATCGTCTATAATAGAGACTTTTTCTCTGCCCGGTCCATGCGTTCTAATTGAGTGCCTCTTGGATTAATTGGGTTAAACGCGCTGCCTCCATTAAACCTTTATAACGCGTACGGAGGACACCCCCTCCTTATTTATTATTTAGCGAGCTCTCGCAGGGCTGGAAGTGGGGCATGGATGAACGAAGCCGGGGAAACACACTCTCGCTGCCCTGCTGCCTGGGAAGAAAATGCAAAACTTTTTAAATTAGTTTAATAAATCAAGGCTACACATTCAGCTGTCATCTGACACGCTACTCTACCCACAGTCACACAGCCACGTCCCCCCCCCTCCCCCACTTCTCAAAAACTGCTGCCTCCTCAAAACGCAGCTAATATCTCTACTGTGCGAGGATCAGCTGAGAGGTTTGTGTGTATATGTGTGTGCACGTGTCTTCCCATATGTGCTAATTAACCGTTTAGCAGGCTGGATGCTGGTGGGTTAGCCAATAAAATAGAACATATAAGCCGCACCTCTTTGGAAATCTGCCATTAAAACCCCCTGCGCCCCTCACACGTACACAAGCATACGTTCACACGCTAGCGTTGCTCTGTTTGAGTTGGCATCATGCTAATTAGCCGCATGCAGGCTTAAGGCTGCTTGAATGTAGATTTACGGGACATGACAATGTCTTTTCATTTAATACATGCAAATAATCTGATGCTAGCAAACCTTTTTCATAATAACCCCAGTGACGTCAGAGGAGGGGGGTGAAAGTGAGCAGCTTAAGACAGGCCCATTAGTTGGCTTTTTTTAACAGCTTTCCTGGAGGGATGTTTGGTGTTTGTCGCACATTACAGCTCTCGCTCTTTTTTTTTTTTTTCTCTCTCCGCTTTGCGCTCTTACGACATTATTCATGCCTGACTGTGGGGCCATTTTGTCACGTATCCGTACCCCAGCAAACCCCACACCTCAGCGATTATACTGATTGCTCTGTTGTTGAGAGAAATGAATGAACAGCTGCAAGAGTCTGGCTGTAAAAAGAAAAAGTAAATATTTGTAGTGGACGTTCTCATTAAAAAGGCCTTTCAAACAATTTTGATATTAACCTTACTTGCCTTTGGTTGATTTGAGAGCATGCTTGGGTCACACGTCCCCCCTTAAGCGGGCTCTAGTGCGCTAGAGCGGTGCGGATTTGTGGGTCTTAATCCAATATTATTTCCGTATTGCAACAGACCCCAGGCCCAGCAAAAACTCAATGGATGTTGGTTGTCAACAAGTGAATGTAATTTAGTATTTGCCGTTTGGCTAAACAAGGATAATATTCTCTTCCTCTCCAGGGCTATCAGGGCTTCATTGTTGGAGAAACGATGTAAGCAGAGGCCAGTCACACGCAGGATAATGGCTCAATACCTCACCAAATCGGCCCGTTATGTTATAAATCATACAATCAGTTCGTCGGGATGGTTCTTGGTCTTTGAACGTGGAGCCAAATCAAGTCATGCAAGCCTGATGGTTCCCGACTTTCCTGAGAAGTGTGATGGTTTGCACAGAGATGTTCACCTTTTTGTCGTCCTCATGTCTGCAGGAACTAAGCTGGAGAACCTGATGGAGAGCATGCGAGGAGAGATTGCCGCCCAGCCTCCGGTGGAAGGATCCTTTGCCCCACGCAGAGGGGATTTCTGCATCGCAAAGTTTGCTGACGGAGAATGGTGAGAGCCAAAAAAAAAATCTCCTAATGAAGCTGAGTTTCCTGGTTTAAACCAAAGACCTTTTCATTTATTCATTTCTTTTAATAAGTAAATGTAATAAAATATTTGTCAGAGTTGCTGTGCAGGATGTTCTTGTCTGGTTTTGAGAGGTAAAGATTCATCTTGCTTATGTGGCAAGTGTGTGCAGGTCATTTGATGTTTCAAGTAGGAATGTACTTATAATAAAATTGGGTTGTTTTTATGGATGAAAATTATTTTTGTTATGGCTGATAACCAATAAATGGGCAATATTAAATATATCTAATATATTTAGTCATTTAAATAGTCATTTTTAAATGACAAGTGAATTTATGCATCAGTTTGGTGATTTTAATGATTAACTTGCATGCATTGGATAATGGCAATTATTATATATAACATGTCAAATTGCATTACAAAATAATAAACATTAAAGGAAAAAATTTATAATATTGGGATAAAATCAATTCAATTACTTGATTACATCAATTACTGTGCATCCTTGGTTTCAAGGAAGATAACTGGTGAATAAAGATTAAAAGCAGAAAGGCATAATTTCTCAGCAAACTATATTAACAGGGATCGCTTTAACTTCTTATTCATTGTTGAAATCATTTTATAGTTAACCATCTGTTGGTTATGAGTATAATCTGCCCTAGATTGCGGGACCTTGGACTGCTCCGAGTTCTTTTTCCATTAGAGAGTCTGGAAGCTTCTATTGTCATCTTGTAGACTGTGAACAGACTGCATCCTCAGTGGGGTCGACCCATTATTCAAGCATATGCTGGTGTTTTTGTTAATGTTGTCTTGCTCTTTTAAAATCTCATTTGAACTCCACCCAAAGATATTCCTAGAATTTGATTTCTTTTCTGTTTAGTGCCTCAGATGTTTGCTATGTTTGTTGCTAACAGGCACTTTCTCTTCAGTGATACGAGTCAGTGATACATAAATCAGTCTGCAGCCAGCAGAAAGACTTTTTTTCTTCTTCTCATGGGTCCCTGGATCAGGTGGTGGTTGGGATGATTGAGGCGATTTAGCATAAGTAGATGGTTTGGAGTGGGCAGGGGGGCTCGAGTGGGTCGGAGTGTCTGTTATATGATTATATGAGAATGGAAACTCTTCTTTGACTTCTCTTTTGTTTGAGGTGTCACACAGAGCTTTGAACTACTCTTTATGATTATGAGAGGCTTTTTGCGCTTTCAGAGCATGAGGTTATGAATACAAGATCAATTCTCTCCTCTGACCCATAAAAGATCTGCCTGTACTGTACAGTTAGGGGCACAAAACTAGTATTTTGCTCTTTCTAAAGTGGGGTGTTTTCAGATCACTTAAACTCCTCTTTTACATCAACAAAGTGCTGGTAAATTGGTGCCATGCAGTGTAGCCCCTTTCAGTCGTTTCCTTGAAGAAAAAGCAGTTTGGATCCAGCAAGTCAGTGGAAACGTGGGTACCAAAGTGCCATTTGGTGGCAAACCTGTTCTGTTTAGAAGTTCCACATCAAGTTGTTCTCTAACTCTCTCTCTTTCTGTAGGTACAGAGCACGCATTGAGAGAGTTGAAAATCCAGCAAAGGTTCACGTGTTCTACATCGACTATGGAAACGTGAGTATCAGCTTGCATGAAGGTTGATGCGTAATCTGGATGTCATGCAGCGTCTCCTGAGTGGAGAAAAAAGGTGCTGACAGATTAATGTTCTGAATTGTGTTTAAAATACTGCATGTGCTTTCAAAAGCCAGCACTGAATCCATCAGTCAAATGCCACACAAGTGGAAAATAATTTGCAAGGAAATGGTGTTAGTATGTTTAAAGGGGGCTTTAAGAATGCAGTACCCAGCATGCTATGCTGTTTTTTTGCCCGGGGCAGAAAGCTCCAGGCCAGCACAAGAGAAAAGATGCAGGTGGTCATGTGATTTAAACATGTCCCACACAACAGGCCTTCTCTCTCATCTCTATATTCCCTGTGCCTTCCTTTTTCTTCTCTTTTCTCTTTGGACACTTGCTCTTTGTTCTGTATATCTTAACCCTCGTTGTAAGAGCATTGTGCTGAATCTGATATCATTGTTTATCCACCTCTGCTCAATCACTCTGATAAATGCCTTTTTTTTGTTATGATTTAGATTTCATATAATAATCTGACAATGTAGTAACAAAACATAAAGTAGCAGATCTTAAATTCTGTGTTCAAATACTTCTAGGGTCCACCTTGTTCATGATGTATGCGTTTCTGCTGCTCATCCTCTTAAATATTGCTGTATAACCCCCCCATACAGAACAAGCCAGTCTTTTTGCTTTGTACTTTCAGCTGTCTTGTCTGTTTGCCCTTCTTTTAGTCTCTCTCTTATTCTCAAAGCTGAAATGAGCCTTTGCGCCATCTCTGTGCTAAGCAGCCTCTTTAGCCTGCTGCGTTCACATGTTCTGTACTGAAGACACATGACCACAGCGCTCAACTGCGACCCAGTAGAGAGAGAGAGTGCGTCTCTCTCATATTGTGTTGCTGGCTTTGAGTGTGGCATGTGGAGGAGTGGAGCGTTATCCTTGACTTTGCTTTTATCTGCTGTGCTGTACTCACACCTCCTCCATTTAATGAGGACCTTGGTACAGGCAGTTGGTGTATGAAAGAGGTATGAAGTCTGTTTTATAACACAACAATGTGACAGTCTCTCTCTCTTGTCGTTTCAGAGAGAGATATTATCCTCCACACGTCTTGCAGCGCTTCCTCCAGCCTTCAGCACGCGTACACTCCCTCCACAGGCTACAGAGTACGCGTTTGCCTACATTCAAGTCCCACAGGACGTAAGTTATCGCACAAAAATGTCTATACGCACACTCCAGTGTGATTGATCATACACCGTGGCCTTCAAACAGGTCCACGTAGAGCATGCACGCACAAGCTAGTCACATCCGGGTTATAAAAGACAGGAATTTATGAGTCACATCATGCTAGTTTAGCTGTTTTGGGTGTTTGGAATGGCGTACTACCGTACAACTGACCGTTTCTGCAAAGGATGCTAATTTTCTGCATGGAATAGCCATACGACGCTAGACTATTTAGGGTTTTATATTCCACAGTGCAAAATAAACCAGAAGTACACTGCTATGTATTTCTAAAGCTTGTCAATAAATTAATATATAAATAAATGTTATATGTATATAAATATAGGGAGTATACTGAGGGATTGTATACTATATATATGAATATTTATATAATTTATTTATTAATAATGAAATGATAAATAAAATCAATCAAAATAAGTTTCTCAATACTTCCTGAATTAAATATGCACGTAATGAGGTCATGCGACTTGTAACAAATGTAGCCAAAGACTACAGATATAGAAAGACTGTTCACTCCTATTACTTATAAATGGGATTGCACTGCAACGTGCAATATGGCGGAATATGTCCCGCCTTCTAAGCAAAAAAGCCAATCACTGATTGGTAAAGTCATTGCGTCACTGCAGCTCCTGTTCCCATAAAAGCCTGAGACTCTCGCTTAAGACTGCACATGCCCATTGGCTGGTCTAGCCTGGAAAATAAGCTTTTTTAATGCTATTTGAGCATAAGAAACAACATTTATGGGACAGTTCATGTCAGATTTTGTTGCTGATTTAAAATATTATTTAATTGTGAGTTCGGCGAGCAGTTTTAGATTTCAGGATTACCCTTTCAAATAGATAGGACTTGGTCTTGAATGCCCGAAAAAGCTGCCCGAAATAGCTGCCCGAAGGCGTTGCAAATATGGTTGTCGACTGAACAGACTTTCTTCAAAAGGGACTTTGATGAAACATACTAGCTCTTTTAAAGTAGGTCGTATTCAGTGTGTTCCTTGTAGCAAGCAGTACCCTAGAGTGGTAATATCCCAAATTAAGCCTTTATGCTAGTTACGCGTTATTAAATTGTGTGACGAAATGCATACGAGAGAACGCTTTCCAGCAGGTCTGTTTGTGTGTGTAGGTGTGTGTTTGTGTGTGTAGGTGTGGCATCATGCCACCTGCCCTGTTAATACTGCTGTTGTTTTGTGATCTTTGAGGTAGGCACATTGTTCTCTCTCTATCTCTGTCTCTTTCTCTCGTTCTGGATGGCCTCTGTATCTCGTACCCCCACCATAACTCCCCCCAAGGGGAACATGCTCTGAGGTTGCCATGGAGACTGGGTTGGCTCACAAGAGCTGTGTGTGTGTGAATGAGCGAGAAAGATCAGATCTGTATCTCACCTCATGCGTCGAACATTTGCGAAACATTGTGTTGGTGTGGAGGTATTTTGATCCTTTTTTTTTTTGCAAATCTACATTTATCATTATCGCAGTGCTTGTGTGTTTTTGTGTGCAAGTGTGATGAATGAGCAACTCTGGAGCTGGCGAGTTTGAACGATGGAGTCTGATTGGCTCAGAGCACGCTTGAGGACCTTGGAGTGTCTATCAATAGCTTGTGTAGTAGTGTGTGTAATTGTAAGTGTGTGTGTTGAGGGCAGTTTGTAGAAATGAAAGCAGGTTTGGGATACATGGATATGTGACATGCTCTTGTAATGACCCCACCCACAGGACGACGCTCGGACCGACGCTGTGGACAGTCTGGTCAGGGACATTCATAACATACAGTGTCTGCTGAATGTGGAGTACAGTGGACTCGTCTGCCCGCACGTCACGCTGCAGTTTGCTGACTCTAAAGATGACGTGGGTCTGGGTCTGGTGAAAGAAGGCCTAGTCATGGTGGACGTACGGAAAGAGAAGCACCTCCAGAAAATGGTAAGTAGATCTGAATACAAAAAGCATGAAGCCACTGGTCAGCTAGTTTGAGGCGGAGACAGCATTAGCTCGGTGTGGGTTATAGCATAATCTATGTGCCCTGAAATGCACCTCGCTGTTTCACAGCAGGGCCTCTGACGGCAGCCATTTTGTATTATTATGAAGCACTGACCATTCGTTCTCCCCTTGTTATCCTCTCTTCATCAGTCTCGCTTTTTAAAACTTACTGCATTCATTTGTGACATTGTGTCAGTGTATACAAACACACCGCTGCTCACACAGGACCTTAGAGGACTTTTTGTTTTAACACTGTTTTTACTTTCAGCGATTTGATTTTTTCTAGAGCTGCACGGAAATTCGAATCCGATTTTTCTGATAACAGTGCTTTTTTGTTTTGTTTTGATTTTAAAAGCTCCAGATTTGTTGTGCTTTCTTCTAGGACTGCATTTCACTGTAAAATAAAACCTGATAATAATAATGTAATAATACTGTGTTCATTTATTTAAATCGCAGCCTTTGTGATTTGATAATCGCACTAAGCCATATCGCAATTTTGATTTTAGCTAATTAATCGTGCAGCCCTAGTTTATTTGTTTAACTTTTCAAATGTCATTCAGTAGCTGTTTATGTGATAGCCCTTAGAGGTAAGACTTAAAAGCTACAAACTCTTCTGTTTGAACCGTTTGAATTTAGAGACATTTGAACCCGTTCTTTGATCATCTGTATTTATCCTTTAACCTTGTGTCACCCTGACGTTATTTCTGTTATTGCTCTTGAATCAAACCATACAGGTTTGTTCTTAGCAGTCTGCCTTATGAACTTGAGTCTTGAGTAAGGGTTTGTTGACTCTGACGTGGCTGTCACAAACACCCTCCATATGCTTAGTTCCACCGTTTCCCTGTTCCCATAGGAACACTGCTGTTCTGGTTCACTCGTCCCCTCCTCTCACTCCCTCGCGCTTTATTTTTTTATTGTACTAACAGGTTGTTTGAGGTGCTTGTATAGAGCTGAGCTGTCTGACTTCAGTGGCAGACACTTCTGCTACCGTTCCACACACTCACAGTTATGAAACACTAGTGCTCAGGCATGTGCACTGTACCTCAACTACTGTACACTACACACATGCTTTAGTTCAACAATACAGTATGTCAGAAGAAATGCATAAATAACCAGTAGTTTTATTAAGATGTGCCAAGGTGAAGTGGGTAAAGTAAATGCTTTCGCTTCTCCTAGCCAGCTACAAGACATTTCTAGGTTGATTTTCTCCTGAAAAGTGTAAAGCATCCTGACCAGCGTAACACAGCAACATTGGCACAACCAGTGACCAGTGTGTTCAGGAAACAGAACGAAATGGCAAAAATAATGTTCAATGACGTTAGTGGCTCAGAAATCACACGCCTCGCCTTTAGTGAAGTGTTTTATTTCAAGATTGGAACCTTTTATTTTTCAAAAACAAAAGCATCTCCACTTTTTCTTGGTGTTAAAAGTTTTTATTAATGTGTAATAACTAGGGCTGGGAAAAAAATATCGATTTCTCGATATTAATCGATTCTCATTTTTACGAACCGATATCGATTCTTAAATCTCAAGAATCGATTAGTCATCCTGTTTTCATTTGATGAATGAATGGAACATAGTGCGCATCCCATCCAATAATTCGCAATAATCTTTGTGCTTTGTTACTATTAATACTAAATAAAGTCTCAAATTTCAAATTACGTCCATTTTCTTATGAAATTCAAAAACATAAATACCGTTTTAGCGCTGTGGCGTGAGATCGCTCTGGCTCAGCTCGAAAGAAGCAGCAGCGCGGAGCGCACATGATCTCCTCTTCCGCCTTAATAATACCAGTTACAGCGCGAAATAAACATGAATGAACGTCTGAAAGTGTGTTAAAAGATAGAGTACAACTTATCGAAATCCGTATCATGTCACATGGAATCGCTCAATCAGTGTTTCAACCGTGGAAAGACGTCAGTAAAACAACTTGTAAACAATGTAACGTCACATTTACCTCAGAAAAACCATATGTGACCATAAACTCGTTAGTAAGCTAGAAAATTAACTCTAAAGAGGAGCATTTTGCTAAATATATGCACCATATTACATATTCATTATAATTTGTAATGTTCTTTGATATTTAATGCATGTTTGAATAAATCTGGCAAGTTTTTATGACAGCCACCATTTAAATGTTTATATTTCATATAACTTTATTATTATAAAAATAAATAAAAGTGTAATTTAAGTGTTTGTATAGCTACAAATCAGTTCATTTTTACCTTGAATATTATAGTAGGCAACAACTGACTCCCATAGTTTACAGCATTAGTTAAGAGATTTGTTTTCCTTGAGAAAATTTGCCATGTATTGTACCTGATATCCAAAATAATCAATATTGAATCGAATCGGAATCAAATTGTGAAATTTGTCAATACCCAGCCCTAGTAATAACCATCTTATAACACCGTTATTACAGTCCATTAGCAGTTGAATGCACGTAGTGGCACACATCCTGTATGCCAGACGGTCATTTTTTTAGGACAGCACTGGCACTTTAGTATAGTGTGGTGGCGCCATGCCACTTGTCTTCTGTACTTTAGCTTTCACCCTTGGCTCTTTCATAAAAATTCTCTCATCTCACTCTCTCCTTCATTCAGTTTCTCATTCATTATCTCTCCCACTCACGCACACTCTCTTTCTCTGTCCTTCTCTCTCTCCTTCCCCATCTTTTTTTCTGCTGCTGGTTTGGCCTCCAGTGCAGCACACTGTGTGCTGGAGGATGTAGTTTGGAAATTTCCATGTATTTGCATGTCGGTGAAAGCGGTGTGATAAATCATAATCTTCCGAATTAAAGACAAAGCAGTGAATCAAACCTTTCATTCCTTCGTTAAATGAGCTGTGATTTAAAACGCTGTTAATATACAGCGATTATTTACACTGCCTTCATAATACACGGTGCCATCCCGCCCGTGACTCCCCATCCCCCTTGTCTTTCTTTTGATATTCTATTCCTTTTTAAACAGTGCTCTGTGATCATTTCTCCCTATGTCCTCTCTGCTTCTGAAGGGTATCTGCTTGACACCTGACTTCCTGCTATCAGCAAATCTTTACTTTGCTGAAGTCTCCAGACCAGAGTCCATACGTCAGTCAGTCCGTCACATTCACTACGGTCTAGTGTGGAACGAGTCCTTGAATCTCCGTACAAGGCAAACGAGAGAGGGAAAGAAAATCTTTAACGTGAAAGTAGGAGTCAGATATGGGAACGTCTGTGTGACACGGAGAGAGAGAGTAGGAGAGAGTGTCAGATAAGGCCCCCCGGTTCTCTTTTTCTTTCTCTGCACTTGTGCGCGGATAACACAGGCCTTCCGATAAGTGTGCACGAGCTTCATCAGTTCTCAGGATCGATAGCTGAAATCGATGTGTCATTTCCCTCCCTGTGTTTGTCAAACACTGCTCTTTCTTATTTGTGTATGCTAGATGACATGTCTGTATGTTATCAGAGGGCATGCGATTGAAAGTAAGAGGCGAATTTACATCAAACCAACAAGTTACTTCATTCAAGCTACACCTTCTGCATGTAAAACAAAAGCATGCAACGCAGCTCATATGGTTTGAAACAGGTGCCATGCATTTTATGCTACACCAGTGCTAAGCGTTAGCTTACTGTAGCATACCATCAGTGACACTGGTTCATTAGTTTTACATGGTAATTACAAGCTCACATACTAATTAGGGTTACAGTCATAGAATACAGACAGTGTTATTGGAGATTTGTTCCGTGAGATTATCCTAAAGCGTTCAGTATTGGCTTAACTCTAGACTTGTGATTTCAGAAAGAGTTTGAAGGTCTTGCTGTTGTTGGCTTATAATGACCTTCTGGAGATGTTATGATCTCAGCTAACCTGGATGGGTTAAATGCAAAGGACAAATTCCGAGTATGGGTAATCACTCTCTCTCTCTCTCTGTCATATTCTTGTGATATTGAGTTGTACGGTCCAGATGATAAAGCCCAAGGGAGGTGTAGTATTTTTATTACGGTTGTTCTGTGATGAAATTGTCCTGTGAGCGCTTTTTAGCAGTTTATGGAAAGTTATATGGGGTTTAAAATAGTGGTTTACATGTCTGTTCCTCTCCTGTTTTATTCCTTTAACATTTATTTAATGTTCTCAACTAATTGCTTAAAGGAATCCAGTCAGACATATTTCTTAAGATTTGATGATAATCAAATCTTTCTTGCATTCAAAAACTGTTAGATGAGTGCAGGGATGACTTAAATTGGATTATTCCTAACTTGATACGCCATCATAAAAAACGTAGCACTCGTGAGTCGTGACAGAACACAAACTAAAACGGCTAAAAACAAAAGATTATTTCAGCTCAACTACAGTAAGTTGGTTTGCAATCACGCACTTATTGGCCACCCCATGTCCAGTCATATCCCATCATGCCTTGCTCCTGACAGCTCTATAACCACTTAACCAGCAAAAGTTAGCTGCGCTTAGAATGGGGATTTTTCTGCTCCTCTAGTATCAAATACACACTCATCCACACAAACGGGCCGGGACACATGCTGAATGACACGCATCGCTGCCTAAAAACCCCATTTCATTCCTGTGCCCTGTGGATTGAACACAGGCTTGATGTGGGACAGAGAAGCCATTTCAGCTACAGTGTCTTTCTGTTGTTTAATCTCTGTACTGAGATGATCAAAGTCCAAACTGTTCTCTTCGAATGCTGTGCGGCTGTGTCCATGAACGCTTTGATTTTCAAGCTGCCTGTATTACTGGGGTATTATAGTGTGTTTCGAAGAACACCACAAATATGATCACTGTCCCATCATTTCATGCCGAGAGACTCAGTTGCAGTCTGCAGATTGGTAAAACAACCACCTGAACCCGTAAAAGTGAGGAGTAACAGAAGTAACTCACACAAGTGGAAAATGTGTGTATTTTTAGCTGATTCTGATATGATGATGATTTAGGCTAATATGATTTAATGCAGCATTAGAGCAATAAAGCATCCATGTATGAGAAAAAGTGCAGACATGATTGATCTTTAATGATCACGTTCTCTCTTCTCTTTTCGCAGCTTATTGTACTAAAATGTTCCAATACACACCAAATCATGTGTACGCAATCAATCATATTGTACACCCCTACTACCACAAAATACAATATGCATTAAGATAATACTAATAATTGGAAACTGATCATTGGATATCTTGATTTAATGCACAGCTCTTATCAGTGCACTCTAATATCTGTGAATCTGTAATCTTGAAATGTTGCTGAATTGTCCTATATGATCGTATCAGCACAGCTCTAATGTTGGCTTCTTTGAAGCAGCACAAGAGTCTTGGCCCCTTTGCTGTGTGAAAACTGCTGATGGTGGTGTGTGAGAGTGTGGCACGTAAGGTGCTGTGTTGCATGTCATGGGGCGTCGAACGCTTGATGGATGGAGGCTGCGTTAGCTGCACTTTTCTCTGCTGTCCAGATGTACCTCGCCGTCTCTTCTCTTCACGTGTGTCCGACCTAAAGCACTGAAGAATCACCTGCTCTTCAGCCAGCCAACTAACCCCCTCTAAATAATAACAGCCCCTGCACACAAACACACCACTAAAAGAGCACACATTACACTTTTTAACGTCTGCCATATTTGTGCATTAAATCCTCTGCTGTGATCTCATCCTTACCTGGTTCTACCTTTCCAGCTTTCTAATGTTACTGGAAATGAGGAGAATCCCCACTCTCTGACTCATCTATGCCTCAATCCTTGCTATGGCAGAAATGGTCAATATGTTTAGTGTTGTGCAGGCCTGTGCCTGTGATACAGATATTTGTGGGCCGCAGGAAAAGAAAGAGCTTGAGAGACAGGCCGTCTAGTGGCTAGAACCACCCACACTTTCACTTATTATTGAATACACACTCTACAAGAACATGGCACTGATCGCTACCCTTATGATCAGAGAACAGCTCAACAAGATGAAGGCCTGTTAAAACATCTTCTAAACAAGATGCACTTACTGTGATTGACTGATGTAGATTCAGCACAGCATCAATCTTGGAAAACAATCTCTGTCCTCCATAACGTAATGTGTGTCATTTATCTAATGTTTAAGATGTTCAATGATATGTTAAAGGAGTTAGGACAACATTAGGCCCTGCTCTGTCTAAATGCACCTCTCCTTTTTTTGTCATAGGTGACTGAATATCTGAATGGCCAGGAATCTGCCAAGAGTGCCAGGGTAAGATCATCTTTATTACATTCCTCTGAAATGCTTGATTCTGATTGGTCAATCACAGCGGAAAAAGAAAAATGCATCACTATTAATTGCACACTTCTCGTAAAATTAAGCATGCACTATTTATCTTGTTTAATACGTTCATTTTGTCATCATTTGCTATATCCAGCAAAGTAAACCCTTAAATTGAAGGGTGATTCTCACAAAACTATTTTCTTTCCAAAAAAAAAGGACACTTAGTGAAAACAACTAAATACCAAATGATATGAATCCATAATTCATACATTTATGCTCACCATTTAAAAAAAACATTACAGAAAACTTTTCAGAATCCACAGTGTATATAGTATGTGTACGTTGCAACAGCAAAGAGCTTGTTTACATTTTTGAGATTTCACACACAGGGCTCGCGCTCTTCAGAAACTATCACAGAATATGACACAGCTCGTGTTTTAAACTGAAACACACTGGAATGAATAATTCTCTGAAAACTCCATGTGAGTCTCTAGTCTATTCTCTCTTTACATAAGCAATGTTTTGAACTGATTGTTTGAATGAAGTCACTTACTGGATCATTGGACTAAAAACTTTCCAACTTAAAATGATCTGATTGCAAACAGAGAAGTGAAATCTGGTTAGAAGAATAGAAATGTCCACCTACCAGGGTTACAGGTGTTGCGGCATTGTAGATGCTGTGTGATAAACTCCCTACTTCTAAAAGATCATCTAACTGTGTGACGTTATGTTAATGACGCAATTTCACGTGCTTCAGTTTGCAGTTCAATTATTTTAACACGTGAAGGATTTTAAATGAATGGCATGCATTTTTTACCTGTAGCATAACCTATAACTGCAGCATGGTTCACATCAAACACAGTCTTTTGGCTCAAACATAGCTCCATATGACAGGCCGACTCAAGCAGAAGAGAGAACCATGCCAACCCAAGAGCTTTGATGATGATATCCCTTCTAACGACGGCGCTAATTATCATAGATTCTCTCCGAGTTAACAGCCACACACACATCGACCACAGAAATGGAGAAAAAAGATAAAAGCCTGTATGACATACAAAATGATTTCCCGTCGTCACTAAGAATCTCTGAAGCCGAAACCATCCACCATCACGTAAATGAAACATTTCACTGGGTTATGTTTCAAACCCGATGTGAGAAAGAAGGGCTGCGATGAAATTTGTTGGATGTAAAGACTTCACGCGTGACTGGATGTGAAGGGACTGGAGTTAAAGAGGACCGTAAACGACCGTTCGCCTCGTTATTACTGAGGTGTGATGATGTTACAGACCAGCTCGTGTTTTAATGATCCTGTCTACATGCTGTGCCTCAGTCTGACAGATACATGAGCACAAATGCTTATCAGGACTTAATGATGGTGGATCAGTGCTGTCAAATGACTTAAAGCCTCATTTTGCAGCTTATTAATGTTTCATTTAAGTTATTTAGGATTTAGGGTGGGTTTCACCAATTTTTTTCAACACAATTGCTTTACCCTACGTGTCCACTGGTGCAGAAGAAGCCCGTTCAAAAACAGCAAAGATCTGCTGATTTGAGGGTTTGTTTTCCTTATTCCTTCCTTTCAATATGCGGTCTCTAAAATTCTCGTATATGCACAATTGCGGTTGGAAACTATTTTGTCACAACCTAACTTTAGAGACGGCACTTTAGTGAAAGTGTCCAAACCGCAATTGAAATCTGAATTAAATTACACATGTAATTATGAGATTTAAGTATTGAGTATTTCAATTCCACAATGACATGTACAGTTAAAGATATGTTTTAACTCGTGTTTCATGATTTATTTATTTTTTTTGCCTTTTATTTGCAGCTCAACATTTGGCGTTATGGAGATTTCCGTGATGACGACGCAGTTGAGTTTGGGTACCGCCGCTAAGTCATTGTCCCAAAGACCTTGTGGAAGACCGGATGCATTTGCAGAGAACACAAAAATCATGGGGAGAAAAAAACGCAAAAACATCCGAATGCTCTTTTTTTTTTCTAACGTTGAACATTTGCCTCTATCCATTTTTTATTTTTAGTTGTTGTTTTTTTTACTCTGTGCATATCCTCTCTTCTGCTCAAGGACTTTGTTTCTTATCATTTTCTTTCTTTTTTTTTAAAGCAAGTAGGCTACTGTAGCTGCTTTAAGTAGGACCAATTTATTTACCTTAATCTTAAATTTTGACATGATAGCCAAACATCTTGTTCATGTACATTTTTAGCCAATCACCAGCTGTCAAACACCATCATAGCAAACCTGATCTGCCCAATCAGATTTCTATATTTTGGGGCAAGATTTTTAAAGAAATGAGGGGATGCACAGAGCAACCATGAACTCAAAAGCTTGCTGAGAAATGCCTCCCTAATCATGAGATTCTATATATGGGATATATATATGGATATTTTGAAGGTAGATCAAAACTAACCAAGTGAACTGACTGAACGTATTTTTGTCTCTTTCTGATGTGATCTGAGTGTTCAGTGACATTTCTGGGCATTTGTGTAGGACGTGTGTTTTCTCTTTCTCTGTGGCAAAAGAACCGCTGCCAGCACCTTTACAAGCGTCTCTGGGCATCTTCCCTGTGAGGTTTACTCAACGGTCATCGTTTCTTCCTTTCCTGCTCTTGCCGCCATACGGAAGCAGTGTATGAATTTGTTTCTTTCTGAGGTAGACCCAGTCATTGTATTTAAATCTGATGAATAAAAATGAGCAAAGTGCCTTGTTGTCTGACTGGTTTTGAGGGATGTGGTTATGGTGAGCTCCTTTCTTTGACTATTTACAACATGGTATAGTCACTATAGTGTTTTTAATGTGCCTCTAAATGACACCAAACTATGTTACAATGGCAAAACACAGTAACAACAATGCTTAAACTGAGAAAAATAGTTTCTGGTACTTTCACTGATTTGATATTAATTTTCATAATTAATATGGACTTTATAATATGGTAAAGTATATAATAATTATAAAGTTGGAAATTTACAACACAAAGTTGTTAGTGAACTTTGTAAGTATCAAAGTTAATTGTTACTTACAATTTTAAGTAACAATTTGTCACCTATTATAACTACATACACTATTGTCCACACGGTGAGGTTTAGCTTTGGAAAGTCTTTTAGGCTATTTGATCAAAATTACAGTGAAAACAGTAATATTGTGAAATATTATTGCAATAAGAAAAAGAACTGGTCTCTTTTAATACATTTTAAGAATGTATTCCTGTGATGGCAATTTATGATGGTCATGTATCACAATGCAGACACCACGTGTTTTAAATTACATTTGTGCATTTGCAAATTGTGAAATGAATGAAATATGAACGCAACACAGACCAAAGACATGTAAATGAACCAAAAACGGGAAGATGAGACTAAAAAAGAACAGAATGCTCACGCAAACCTGTTTTTTCTCATCATGGTTTCGATGGTGCCCATTCCAGTTCGGTACAGGCATCAGAACCGTGTCTCTTCGCAGCAGATCGTTTGTGTGTGTGACGGAGAGGAAAATCGCCGGTTAATCGACGTGACAACACTGGTAATACCGGTATCACCGCCAGGGGGGGTCCCTCTTTTGCACCTCGCTTTAAAATCGCTAATTTGGAAGCTAAAGTAAAATGCGCACGGCCACACAGGAATTCATAACGGTGTGGAGCAAAGCGGGCGTTTTCAATTAATTCCTATAGAAGTAAGCCTCCATTGGAATGAACTGAAAACGCTCGCTCTGCGCCAGGGGACACGCGCGTGCTGTGCACATTTTACTTTCGCTTGCCAATTCGGGAGCAGAAATTGCTTGAATGGTGGGTTCATTATTATTCTTAATGAAAAACACAACAAAACAGTACATTGACAAACTTGTTTAAATGGTGCTTTTACATTTAGCTTCGAAACCAAATCTTCCGCCGTCATCTTGTCAGTCAAAAGTGAGTTGAAATGGGCGAAGTGAGGAGAAATCTGACTCCTGCCGCTGATCTGTGCCGCGACTCTTGTTCATCTCAAGCTAAACTGAGCAGATGCGTTTTAGTTTTGTATTGTATTGTCTGTTCTGGGCACCTTTACACATTTTAGCTCTCCACGAGTTCTCAGCTGATCAAAAACCATCATGTAGGTTATACGCACATACAACGAGCGCATTTATCCAAGTAGACAGCATTGTTTTGGAAGTTCGGTAAGCTCCGTCTCGAAATAGGCAATACGTCATAAAAGCCGACCGATCAGGTTGTGAACGTATCCCTATGCCTTTAGGTTCGGTGTTAAAAATGCCAATGTGAACGCTAAGCGAACCAGGGCTAACTGAACTACAAGTGTGAACACACCCAAAACAATGCAGACAACTTGTTTTAACCGCAATTGGTTTCAGAACAGTGAAACTTCCACTCAGTATGACAGCGGTGAGCATTGGGTCTCTAGCTGAAACTGCAGTAGATGAGTTGAGACTCACTTGAGAACTAGCCTGTGTTTGAGGCTTGAGCTGAATGGCCCTCATCTCTGCTGAAAACATCATCGCATCTGTTCTCCACTGCCCTAATGAACCATGAGCACCCTGGTTTTGCCCAGTGCAACTCAGGCTATTTATTAGCTCTGTGAGAAAGGGCTTTTATATGAGATCATGGTATAATGTAGTTCTCTAATGTTAGTTTATGACTTTTAGAACAGAGATTCGGCCCAGATTTCTGCCTCATTGCTGCACTGATGTGCTGCTTCAGCTTTATCTTGTCCCTTTATTAAGTCAAAACACTGGAAATCACTTCTCTTTTTTTCAGGTTAATGAGATCTAACTTTACATTCATATACACACATTTTTTAGCCTTTAACAGAAGGACATCGTGTCCTTTTCGTGTCAAATGAATACAGAACTTATCTCCATTTTAAATGTCCTGTCCTCAGTGAATCTAGTTATGTTCAGCTTGATTAGCTCAGTTCTTTGACCTCCCTAAACCTTTTATGTTCAATAATTTAAGGACTCAAACCTGTATATATATTCACTTAAATTGAGAAATATGTCGCTAGATATTCTGCAGAATGTGGTGCTTTTAACTGAAGCGAGGTGTAATTACTCAGATTAACATTAAGTAGGTTAAGTCGTAACGCAGCAGGTAGTGTTGTGGCGAACACAAAGATTATTCAGATTCTCATTCAAATCCACATTGTGTCCCAGTGCCCTTTTTCTTGTCATTAATTTCATGTCTCCGCTTCACTATACAATTATTAAAGGTGCAGTAAGCAATTTTTGAAAAACGCTGTTGAATGTGGATCAGATCGAGCACCACAACAAACTTGTAGCCAATCAGCAGTCGGGGGTGTGTTCACTCATGATGGAAGAGCTGAGGAAGAGGGAGATTTGAAGAAAGACTGTTGACATTACATTACATTACAAAATTGAATATCACTGGAAAAAGATGGTTATGATGAGGCATACTGCACCTTTAAAAGATAGAAAAAGCCCTTCCAAAATAATGTTTATGATGCTGCTTAAATTTTGAAAGTGTAAAGTTTTTGTCTTTTTTAAACGTCTACATTATTCATTTTGGCTAATACATTTTATATATATATATATATATATATATATATATAAAAAATTGGGATGATTTAGGAAAGCTGAAAGTTTTGTCCCAGTTGTTACAATTTCTACTCTTGTTTTTTTTTTTTTTTTTTTTAGGCAGGTGTTTAATGTTTGGTGTTTTAATTGTTAATTTTACCTTAAGATGTGCAGAATTTTTTAGCAGTAGCCCCTGTCCTTCCATATTTCTCCTTTCATCCTCATGTCTGTCAGACCCCGCTGCTGTTTTAACCTGTCTTTCATCATGGAATATGAACTATATGAGTGTCTTAGTGAGCCACAGTACACCTGAAATACATAGTGTCCTAAAACTACAAATAGATATATTATACACTCACCGGCCACTTTATTAGGTACACCTGTCCAACTGCTCGTTAACACTTAATTTCTAAGCAGCCAATCACATGGCGGCAACTCAGTGCATTTAGGCATGTAGACATGGTCAAGACAATCTCCTGCAGTTCAAACCGAGCATCAGTATGGGGAAGAAAGTTGATTTGAGTGACTTTGAACGTGGCATGATTGTTGGTGCCAGAAGGGCTGGTCTGAGTATTTCAGAAACTGCTAATCTACTGGGATTTTCACGCACAACCATCTCTAGGGTTTACAGAGAATGGTCCGAAAAAGAAAAAACATCCAGTGAGCGGCAGTTCTGTGGGCGGAAATGCCTTGTTGATGCCAGAGGTCAGAGGAGAATGGCCAGACTGGTTCGAGCTGATAGAAGGGCAACAGTGACTGAAATAACCACTCGTTACAACCGAGGTATGCAGCAAAGCATTTGTGAAGCCACAACACGCACAACCTTGAGGCGGATGGGCTACAACAGCAGAAGACTCCACCGGGTACCACTCATCTCCACTACAAATAGGAAAAAGAGGCTACAATTTGCAAGAGCTCACCAAAATTGAACAGTTGAAGACTGGAAAAATGTTGCCTGGTCTGATGAGTCTCGATTTCTGTTGAGACATTCAGATGTTAGAGTCAGAATTTGGCGTAAACAGAATGAGAACATGGAACCATCATGCCTTGTTACCACTGTGCAGGCTGGTGGTGGTGGTGTAATGGTGTGGGGGATGTTTTCCTGGCACACTTTAGGCCCCTTAGTGCCAATTGGGCATCGTTTAAATGCCACGGCCTACCTGAGCATTGTTTCTGACCATGTCCATCCCTTTATGGCCACCATGTACCCATCCTCTGATGGCTACTTCCACCATGTCACAAAGCTCTAATCATTTCAAATTGGTTTCTTGAACATGACAATGAGTTCACTGTACTAAAATGGCCTCCACAGTCACCAGATCTCAACCCAATAGAGCATCTTTGGGATGTGGTGGAACGGGAGATTCGCATCATGGATGTGCAGCCGACAAATCTGCGGCAACTGTGTGATGCCATCATGTCAATATGGACCAAACTCCCTGAGGAATGCTTCCAGCACCTTGTTGAATCTATGCCACGAAGAATTGAGGCAGTTCTGAAGGCAAAAGGGGGTCCAACCCGTTACTAGCATGGGGTACCTAATAAAGTGGCCGGTGAGTGTATATAGATATATTAATGTGTGTTGCACATGATCTGGCACAGTCAGAGTGCTTTGGTCCATCCATGTGGTTGTGTGACACTCACCTGCTTGCATCTCTTGTTTTCTCTCTTCTCCCTCTCATTCATGTGGACACTGGGTGTGAGATGGAACAAAAGAAGACGAATATGTCAATCTCAATAGGAAATAATATATAGCTGTGTGTATTCATAAGTTTATTCAAAAGTGTCATTTAATCAATGAAGTGACTTGAATTTCTCAGAGAAAGCTGTGTGGCTTCAGTAGAGTTGGGATATCGTGCACAAGTATAGACTACTTTTGTGGTTCTTTCTTGAAGTTTGAAATCTTCAGTTTTTGTTGCAGCTGCAATAGACAGTATATAGGAACTGTGCAGACTGCATTGATATAGTCACTTCTTTTGCTCAGTACTTTTAAAATGTTCTAATGTTTAAAATGAAATCCAGTGGAGATGTGCTCTTCACACTCAATATTTAAAAACTAGCTAAAAACCAGAGGTCAACATTTGTTTTTGTTACCTTCCAGCAAATTGTATTCTGGCAGATCTGCTCAGTTGCTCAGCTGCATTCATTTCTTGTTTGACATCAGCCAAAAGAGCAGAAAAAC